CCCCCCTTAATAGGAAAGAGTTTCAACAGTGCCATAAAAAGGCTTTAAGTTTTGAGCATGAAAAGAATCTACATGATCAGGGTCATCAACAAAAGATACAGAGTAATTTACTGGACCAAGGCATTTGATTACTTTGACAGGACCTTTCCATTTTGCAGCAAGTTTGGCCATAAACCCTTCGGTAGCCCGTGACAGAGGATGAGTACGAACCAAACCAAATCTCCAACCTGGAAGAGAGCTTGTCTTCTTAAGTTGTAGTAGTGACGTTGTTTTTCTTGGACTTGTTCCACATTCCTTTGCACGGTCTGGATCAACTCTTTGTACCTCTCCAGAACTGGGTATGCTGGGCTGTCTGGGTCAGGTGTTTTTGCAATCGCTCTCTCTAAAGGACCTTTCAGCTTTCGCCCGAGCATGACTTAAGCTGGAGTGAATCCTGTATTCTCCTGCCAAGCTGAGTTAATGGCAAAAACGGAACTCTGCCAACCATCTATCCCAATTGCGGTGATGGTCTTGAACATATGAGGCGATCATGGTTTTGAGAGTACGGTTGACTCGTTCTGTTAGGTTTGTTTGAGGGTGTGCAGTAGTGGCTAGTTTTTGAATGACCCTCCATTGTTTGCAGACCAGGCAGAGAAGTTGCGAAGTAAACTGGGATCCTCTGTCAGATACCGGATACATCGGGGTACCCCATCTGGTGAAGATTTCTTCCATCAGGATGCGTGCGATCTGTGGAGCTTTTGCGACACGCAAAGGAAACAACTCCACCCACTTTGAACAGTAGTCCACAATTACCAGAAGATGTTCATTCTGTTTTGGACTTTTGGGAAATGGTCCCATGAGGTCAACTCCCAGCATATGTCCAGGTTCCACTACTGGTGTAGACTGCATATGGCTGGCTAGTTTTGCAAAAGATGGTTTGTGCTGCTGACATACCTGACACACCTTACAATGCTTCCACACATCTGATCGCAGAGTAGGCCAGTAGCAAATGTCTACAAGTCTTAACAGAGTTTTGAGTCTGCCAAGATGTCCACTTAGAGGGTTGTTGTGTGCGTAGTTGAGAAAATGTTGTCTTAAGCAGGTAGGAATGACTAATTGAAGTTTGGGTCCTTTCGGTCCTTGTGGCATGCTGCGGAACAGAAGTCCATTTTCCAACAAGTAATGCATGCGAGTGGGATCTGGGTCAATGGATGCTTTGGCTTTTGTGATGAGTTCTTGAATTTCTGCGTCTTCCTGTTGGGCTTTTGCAATGTCGGACCATTCAACAGGAAATGCCTGTGACAGCATAGTGAGTGGCGAGGTATCTGGGAAACTGCGTGAGAAGGTATCTGGTACAATGTTGCATTGACCCTTGCGATACTTGACAGTGAAATCACACTCTTGAAGGCGAATGGATTTTGGGTGGTTAAATACCCAGGTTAGAGCTGCGTGATCAGTGATCACCTCAAATGGTCGTCCTTCCAAGTATGGTCACCATTTTTCGACTGCCCATATCACCGCACAACACTCCTTCTCCAAGACTGAATACGATTTCTCAGCTCCTTGTAACAGACGCGAGGCAAAGTTCCACACCATCTATATCTTGGGTCAAGACTGCTCCCAAACCAACATCACTAGCGTCAGTTTAGACTCTAAAAGACTTTGACAAATCTGGGGCCATTAAAACCGGGGCACTGATCAATTCATGCTTGATCAATTCAAAAGAACTCTGACATTCCTCAGTCCAAGTCCAGGTAGCTCCTTTTCTTTTCAAGGCATGTAATGCGGCGGCTTTCTCTGAAAACTGAGGGATAAATCTGTGGTACCATCCTGCTATACCTAAGAAACGTTGCACTTCTTTCAGAGACTTGGGGACAGGAAAGTTAGCAACAGCTTCAATTTTAGCAGGGTCAGTTTTGATTCCTCCTGCTGAAATTACATGTCCTAAAAACGTCATAGATTTCTGCATCAAGTTACACTTCTGGAGGTTCAGGGTGAGACCCGCTCGGCTTAGACACTGGAAGACTGCTTTTAGGTGGACTAGATGTTCTTCCTCAGACTTGGAGTAAACTACCACATCGTCAATGTATACAAAACCACTCTTACCCCTTACGTCTTTCAGCACCAACTCCATCAATCGCTGGAACGTGGTTTTAAAGGCCGAAGGGTAGACGGAGAAATTCATATAGCCCTAATGATGTGGTGAAAGCAGTTTTGGGAATACTCTCTGGCTCCATTTCAACTTGCCAATACCCGCTTTTGAGGTCAAGGGTATTGAAAATAGTAGCTCCGTGCAGAGACTCAAGGATCTCATGTACTTGAGGCGTGGGGTAACCGTCCAATTACATCTTTGAGTTTAAACCTCTAAAATCAATACAGAATCGCTGACCACCTCCCTTCTTCGGTACCAGGACCACAGGTGCTGCCCATGAAGAAAATGAGGGTCTGATGATCTTCTTGTCCAACATTACTTTGATTTCTTGTTCGATGAATTGTTGTTTCTCAGCTGATACTCGGTATGGTTTCTTGTGGATGGGTACTTCACTGGTTGTAATGATGCGGTGTTTGACTACATCAGTGTGTCCTATTTCATTGGTGCAAACAGTGGGCCATTCTCTCAGCAGATGTTTAAGTCGGAGCTAACATTCTGGAGACATGTCTGCACTGGTAACCAGTTGATGCACAAAGGTCTGTGTTTCACGCGACTCTTTTGGTAAGGGTAATGCAAGGTAGAAAGACAGCAATGCATTGTGATAATTGAAAGGCATGAATAAGAATGTTTCCTCTTGGCAGTGGTTTGAGGCAGGCAAGGATGACGGGTACAGTGAGATCTTCATCCTTCATAACATACAAAGTCAAATCATACCTCCTTCCTTGCACTTCGCATTCACAGTTCCACACCCCCAAAGCAGATAACACTTGGCCGTTGGCTTGCTTGAAGGTCTGACCACGACTGGAATTCAGCTGTTCTTTGTGTCTCAACTGTCTCCAACAGGATTCCTGTAGTAGAGTCAGCGAACTTCCTGTATCAATCATGGCTTGAAAATATCTCCCATGGATCAATATTGGCAGGGTGAGTATCTTCAAGTTGACAAGTTGAACAGATTGGCATTAGAAGCAGACTGTAGAATACGAGTGTGTCATGGATTGGCCTTGGGATGGGTGTCTCTGTCGGTTTGGTTTCTGCGCTTCTGCATTTCAGCATTAGCCTGACTCCAATACTTCTTGGCTTCTTCAAAATCTCTCTCAATTTGCATGCCAACTCTCGCTAGCTCGCTCACCTCTCTTACTTACAGTGCCAGTTAACAAACTTGCGAGTCGAGGATTGCAGTTTCTCAAAATTGACTGTACGATCTCCTTCTCAGACATCTCCTTCTTCCATCTTAAACAAAAAGCACGATAATGATATGCAAAATCTCGCATTGATTCTTTTGGACCTTGTTTTCTTTCCAGCAAATGCTTGGCAGCTTCAGCTTCGTAATCGTCAGATAAGAAAGCATGCAGGAAATCTTGTTTGAACTGGCCCCAAGTGAAAATGTGTCTTCTCTCTGCTAGCCCCTGTAACACTGAAGTGAGAGAAGCTAGTATTTCTGAGTCGATGAGTGGTCTGAGTGCAAAATACTCCTCACCACGTTCAACAAAAGTAATAGGACCATTGTCTTCGTCTGAACCAAATTGTGGGAATTCAACCCTTACCGGAGGACGATAGGGAGCAGTCGTTGCCATATCAGGAAGGTTGTGAGTACATTGATGAAGTTGCTCAGTACGTGGTCGATTGGAGTTTCTTGACAAGGCAGGGGTGAGCAAAGGAAGAGAAACTGGAGTAGACATGACATGAGCATATGACTTATAAGGCTTATTGTCGATCAGTGCATCTCTCCTCTTCAAACAATCCACCACTGACTTCCCTAAATCACATATACTCAGCTCAGTCATTTTTTTTAACTCTCTCACACTCCCTTTCTATCTTGTAGGTCAACTTTTCCTCCAACAACTGACACTGCTCCATAAATTCAGAGTGTGAACAACATTGACTCACTTTTTGGGTGCAGGCTTGAACTTCACCTTCCAGATGCGGTTGGTCAATGAATCCGTTACCTGTCTTGAAGGGTGATTATCAGAAACTACGTCATCAGGAGGAGGAGGTGGGGGGAAGTGGGTCATCAAGAGGAATGTTGGAATCATTATCTTTGTCAGAATTGATATATAATTCACTGAAAGTATGGATGAGCTCTTGCACAGGCTGTGAATCTCTTCTCGTAACAAACGGGCCTGCAGTGAAATCAGGATTGGGTTCGCACTCATTCTCTGCATCGTGTGATGTGACAGACATGACTGAAACACAACAGACAACAAGTAATAAACAGACATAAGACGTCTTTTTGCAAATGTCCCTGTTCGGGCACCAATCTATAACTGTCCCGACTATTTTAAACCGGGCCTGTTATAGGAGTAAAAGGGGGTTTTGCAAGAGGTCCTACTGGTTATGGTGTAACAAAGTTTTGATAAAGGCAAAAAAAAAAAATGAAGAACAAAGACAGGGGATATCCCTTTTCCAAACTGTATTAAACAATCCACGCCAAATATTCACAAACACCATATTAAACACTTATACAAATATACAAATTCCCCTAGCAAACAGTTAAGAGCAGTTACAACACATTACAAGAACAGAACAATAAAAACACAACTTTTAATTGTTTATTATAATTATATGAATATGTATGCATCACCCTGGATTTGAACCTGAGATGTCATCAAGCCAGTCGAGCACACTAACCACTCCCCCAACTCACTTAGTGGGGTGATGCACTCATATAGTATGTTATAATTCGTCAATTCGCTTAAAGGGGTCATATGATGTTGCTAAAAAGAACATTATTTTGTGTATTTGGTGTAATGAAATGTGTTTATGCGGTTTAAGGTTAAAAAAACATTATTTTCCACATACTGTGTTTCTCCTCTATGAGCCTTTCTGAAACGCGTCGATTTTTACAAAGCTCGGAAGGCCAAACAAAGTAGTGTTTTGACTCTTAACTTTTATAAAGAATATCTCTTTGGATTTGAGACTTTAGTCTTTGCAACTTTACAGATCTTCTTTATGCACCAAAGAGCTTGTATCACTTCAAAGAGAAAGGAAAACTTGAAATCACATCATATGACCCCTTTAAAGGACAATCAAATCCTTGTTTAATAGGCTATTGACCAAACATTTAATTCAAATATCCACTTAATCTTTAATTTTTGGCCACCTTTTTGCTATAGGCTATATAGATGACACAGCCTCTATAATTTCTTCAACAAAAAACATGTGGACATCACAACCCTTACAAAAAATAACCATGGTTTTATCATTGTAAAACTGCTTAATTTTCTTTTGCATGATTTCTGAATGCTTGAGACTATAAAATCAATCAGACAACTGTATTATAAAAATCATAGCCATAGGTAACTGTCTAGATTTGTAATTTGTAAATAATACAATTTATTTACTTGTATATTTTATTAAAGTTCTATTTTGACCCCTATAGTAGGTGTTTTTTTTTTTACTTCCATAATATTTGAGGGAGGGGGGCACAACAATACAATCCTGCTTAGGGCACCCATTTGACCAGCAGCGGCCCTGTTAAGAAGCAGTGATCACCTGTTTTGAAATGCCTCATGTGCATAAATACCTTAAATCAGATCCAACAGTATGGTTGGATTTTCTATTGAACAAACCAAAATGAAAATAATTCAAAACAAGTGCCACTGTGAAGCAGTACATATCTAGAAGACAATACAAAGCCATTTTAAATGCAGTTTAACATATTCAGTGTAGCTCTTGATATAGAAAAAAATTTGATCTTCCTCTCCATTAAACTTACATTTTATCACAATCAAATGTGCAATAACTTATAATTATAATAATTATGATTGTTAAAGGAAATACTCAATACTCTTGAGTTTATCCACATTACAGAAGCAGAAATAATGTCACCATGAAAGCATAAAATGAGCTCACTGTAGCTGTTATGAAGCTGTTTTGCTTACAACTTCTTGTGTGTACAATATAACACAGGCCTTATGTTAACTACTAAATGATTCTGGATTATTCTGGATGGTAGTTAGAGATTATTTATAATTTATTACAGGGTTTCCTCAAATCTAGTCCTGGAGGGCCACTGCTCAAACCCTGATCAAACTCACTTACCTGTAATTTTCCAGGGATCCTGAAGACCTTCATGAGCTTGCTCAGGTGTGTTTGATTAGGGTTGGACCTAAACTCTGCAGGGCATTGGCCCTCGAGGGCAAGAGCTGAGGAACACTGGCTTATTAGTATGCTAGGCTGACTACATTGTCCCCTCAGAATATTTACATTAATAACATTGTTTCTATCATTTCTTACCGTTGAAGCAAAAAAATGGAAATAGACTATTGCAATCATAATCATTCCATGAGCTACCCTGCTTCATACCACAAGCCTCATATCCACCATAGTTGTTTGGTTCTCCAGAACTCCAAGTGCTGAATGCAATTTCCTTATTTTGATAAGACCACCGCCAGCTATTGATGTCATTGTACAGTCCAATCCAAGCCGTCTTAGTACTTTTTTTAACTACATCTCGTAGATTCGCCCAGTCTTCATCACTTTGAACAGTAGCCAAGTCAATGTGATTCGCTGTGCAGTAAGCTTGTGCCTGTTTCCAAGTCTTCTGTTCCTGAATTATAACATACTCACGTGAGATGCCCCCAGTAAATGAACAGAATCCTGTTGAGAAAAGTATAGAATGTTACAGTGTGCAGAAATACACATGCAAACACTTAACCAGGCATGGTATTAGGGATTTTTGAGATGAAGCATCTTTTTTAGGTGAGCTATAAAATTTGGTCACAATTGTCAATTTTTTGATGGCGATCAAGTCAAAATGTGATGATCCTCATGATAGGGATTCAAAAATGAATATATATATATATATATATACAATATATATACTATGTATGCCCTTGATTACATTTAACAAACATGCAATATTCTGATAATTCACATTTCTTCATATCTTTAAGTATACTGCTCTCGACTCTTCTTGGCACTGAGTGTACTTGTTAATGAAAAATGTTCACATCTATTCTGAGTAACTCCTGGAGGATGACCTCCACAAATGTTTTTTTCTTTAATTGGGGAGTGTTCCTGTTCTGGGATTGGCATTTGACATTTGGTGAATCTTTGCTCTGGGCGGCAATGAATACACCTGCAAGTAATGCAGCTTTATAGTTTCAGAGACCCACTTTATGATGTTTTATTAACAAAGTTCGGGAGGAACACGTTCAGATAATTAACCTAATTAACACAAGAGGAGCAAGACATCTCCGCCAGACATCGCCGCCGAGCCCCAGGCTTTATCGAAGCTGCCGCTCTGCTCGACCAGCCACACGCTTTTCACAACGCTGAGGCCTACCCTCGCCTCTACCGGCGACACTTCCAACTTCTTCCCTGGCATCCTCCTATCATTCGGCCGTGCCAACAATTCCTCCGATTGGGAAGTATTAAGCCGGAGGCAAGCGCTGATTAATTCCGACGCACAGTTCTTGTGGAGGGTGAACAAAGCAGATCTGTACGATCTATACGTCACCCTGCAATTAGCCGACCTCACTCCTAAATTTACTCCTGCCCCAAGGTGGCCAATAGATTGAGCAAAGCTCAGAAGACCCCAAACTCGCCTTGCTCAACACCACCATCGTCTCGCAGAAGACCCGGCTCTCCTTGAGCGTTGAGTCGCTGCGGTAGGCCTTCAGTGAGCCTGGGCCGAGCCCCAGATCTCACCTCAGCAAAACCACACTCGCTTCCCACTTCGGCTCAGCATTTCACCGCGGCTCTTCCTGCCGCAGCATCATATGCAGCCGGGCCTCCAGCTCCTGTATCAGACACTAGCGCAAGGCTGCCTCCGCTAAGGGCGCAGGCCACCAGTGTTGCCAAATAATTTTCAGGTAAAATCGCTAAAGGCAGGTCACTTGTTGCTAAAAGTTGTTAAATGATGTCGCAACATCATTGGATGTTAATGTCATTATGTAACCATGACGCAAAAAGTGCGTAGAATACACACTGAAATCACTCAGATAAATAACAGTTAAGGTGTATCATGAATAAACTATGATTGAACAAGTGCAACTAGCTACTTAATTCACATATTATGTGTGTACTGCTTGGCACCTCTCTCAAAGTGTCAACTAGCTGATGTGCCGCTTGGCTGGCTAGCTGTTTATTGAAATTTTGTTCTTTTTGTGTGGTTAAGAGGAAAATGCATGTCTTTTTATCATTTTATTACTTTTAAAAGTTTCCAAATACATTTTTAAAATAGCTAAATTTGTCACTAGGTGCTTTGAAAAACAAGTTGCTAGGGTACTCTGACACTATGTCTGCATTAAGCCGGATACATTTAAAAAAACTGAGATTTCGTTTCAAAACACTCTCCGTCCACATTAGCGTTTTCAAACGTTTTCCAAAAGTTTCTCATCCACACTGAAATGTCTGAAAATGTTAAATTCGCCTTACTGCGCATGTATAAAACCTCACTGAGATTATACAGATGGAACAGACATAATAAGTTTCATCATTTTTCTTCAGGATCATTTTATTTACAGAAATATCTCATCTAGGGGTGTCGCGATATACCGGTATGGACGATAACCGTGATATTCAAATTATGAAATATCGACATCGTGTTAATTTAGGGTGTGACGATATACCGGTATTGGTGATAACCATGATATTTAAAATGAACAGGACACTTATGATAACACGACATGTAAATTCTCCAGCGTCAGTACCTGGTTGACCTCCCAGGTGGCAGTATTGTGCCTTAACGCTGACACCAGTGTCAAACAAGAAGAAGATGCAGCGCGCGCAAGAATCATGTCGTCCGAGCTGGAGAGTGAGAGGCTTTGTCCACACCCGAAAAAAGTAAGCTCCCCAGTATGGGAGCTTTTCGGATTCAAAGAAAAGAGCTCCTTAGACAACCCAATCTGCAGAATCTGTCGGGCTACGGTCAGTGCGAAGGGGGGCAACACCACCAACCTTTTTACCCACCTCCGTGTCCGTCACCCTGCGGATTACGCCCTTTTACAGAGAGTAAATTGCGATTATTTTACTAATCATGGAATGGGAAATGTTACATTAACCTGTTAACAAGGGTTTTCTGTGTTTTTATATTTAAATAAAGGGTGATTCTTTTAAGTTTGTCGCAGTGCCATGCACTTAATGCCTCATCTGTGGTGGCGCAGGCGCAACCATAGGTTAAAGAGCTTACAATAGGGGTATGCAAGTTAACAGGTTAAAGTATCAGTTTTGATGTTAATATTTATTCATCATACTGTTGATCTTGACAGTATTTTCTCTATTGTTATATCATAGAGCGCTTCAAAGAAGACAGAAAAGACCAGAGTCTCAGGTCAGCTGACACTTTTTGATTCTGTGGAAAGGAAGAGGAAAGCAGACATGGCTAGTGCATGTGAGGACACAGCCATCACTGAGTCACTAGCCTTCTTCATTGCAAAGGACATTATGCCCTTTAGAATAGTAGAGAGGCCAGGATTTAATGCACTGGTGAAAACAGTTGCTCCAAAATACAAAATCCCAAGAAGACATGTACTTAAAATTAAAAGATGAGATTACCAACACTTTGGCTGAGGCCAAACACTTTGCATTTACAACTGATCTCTGGACCAGTAATACTGGACACCCCTATATGAGCTTAACAGTTAATTTCACCACACCAGCATGGGAAATGAAAGCTGCATGTCTAGAGACTGCATTTTTACCTGATGACCGCACCATTGAGAACATTAAAGAGACATACGAAAACCTAATTAAAGAGTGGGGAATTCAGCAGTGGAGTGTGTCACTACTGACAATGGCACAAATATGAAGGCTGCATTTAAATCCCTCCTCCCATCAAACTGGCTCAGCTGCTTTGAACATAATTTAAATCTTGCACTTGGAAAGGCCCTGAAGATTGACCAAGTGGATGCTGCTGTGAGGGCTTGCAGGAGTGTCGTAAAAGGATTTAACCACCCATGGAAGAGAAGGAGAGAGCTGGCGAAAAAGCAAGCAGAACTTAATCTTCCTCAACATACCTTGATCCACGACGTTGTGACTAGATGGGGGTCTACGTACGACATGATTTCTAGGTAGGTTTGAATTTCTTGTGCATGGCAATAATCCTGTTCATTTAATTATTCTGTCAGTGTCAACTCAGCATAAGTTTTCTTATGCTTAAAAGGCAAAGGGTGCATGAAAACAAAAATGTAAATGAAAACAACAGATAAAGAAATGCTTTAGTTTTACAAACTCACTTGCCTTTTCTCACTCTGACACACGCGCACGCACACACACATCTGCTGTATGCTTCTCAGCAAGCCTGTTGTGTAGATTAGGAACATTTTTCTAACTTCATATAATATAATGTTGGCAGATTTGTTGAACAACATGTTGCAGTGACAGCAACTCTCATGGCTGACAGAAATACCAGGCATCTTGTGCTAAGGGGGTCACACATCTCTACACTTGAGGACACATGTAAGGTGCTGAAGCCACTCAGAACCTTTACTGATTCCCTGGCTGCAGAGACCTGTATCACAATCTCATCTCTGAAGCCTGTCCTTCAGCATCTGACTGAATCCATCCTGGCAGAAAAGGATGATGACAGCAGCCTGGTGAGGAGTATGAAACATGCAATCTGCAAGAATTTACAAGAGCGGTATGAGGATTCCAATATGGCTAATGGTGAGTAGGCTGGTACCACAAATTTCTCCAACCTCACCTTATTCATAGTCTTATATCATTACTACTCATCATGACTGATTGTGTTTTATGAGCTCCGTTAATAATTTATGTTCTCTTTGGTTCATCTACAGTGATTAACATGGCCTGCGTACTTGACCCCCGCTTCAAGTTGAACTTCATGGAAGAGGCAGATTCAATTAAAAGACATCTAGATCAGCATCTCACGCAGGAGTCTTCTGACAATGTAGGTAGCACTTGTACTCTCTCACAGGAGTCTTCTGCCAGAGGAGAATGTGAAGATGAGGGAACCAGTGTCTCTATCCCTGAGGCCCCAAAAGGCTTGACTGGTATTCTCAAAATGATAACAATGAAAAAACAGAAGATCAAACAATCAGCAGACATGGTAAAATCTACACCAGCATTTCAAGAAGTTTCTGCATACACAGCCTTGCCCACTATTTCTGTGGATAAAGACCCACTGCAGTGGTGGAAAGACAATGAGGAGGATTTTCCAAGGTTGGCAAAACTGGCACAGAATATCCTTTGCATTCCCGCCACTAGTGTTGCATCAGAAAGACTTTTCAGTTGTTCAGGAAACATTCAGACAGTGTTTCGCTCCAGTTTGAACCCAGAGAAACTTAACATGCTTGTCTTCCTTCACAAAATTTGCCATAGATTGAGAATGTAAGAAGTGAAAATGCATGTGGCCTGTTTATCTGTATCCTTATGTTCGTTGCATTGGGTAAAAAAAGACAAACAAAATAAACAAAGTCAAAAATAATTTGACTGATAAAGTTTTTCCCCCAAAGGTTTCTATAGATATCGCGATATATCGATATCATGAATTCTTTTGGCCACAATAACTGTGGTGTGAAAAATCTAATATCGTGACAGCCCTAATCTCATCATTCACTGATGTGCCCATGTCGCGCTCACTCATGTTTGATCTAAAACGCAACTTCCCTCATGTTTTGCCGCAGGACAGCAATTGTGAGTACATTTTCTGTTGTCTTTTTAAGACTAATATGAAGAGTATTCAAAGTAAATATCTTTAGCAACAGTGTGAAAGTGAATGGCACATAACTGCACAATTAATGTTACTGGTAAAAACATAGATGTCTGTTGGTACAATATGTCACATGACTAAACATGCTTCATCGTTTTCAAAAGCCTCCATTTTCACAGTCCACACTACAACAGCGTTTTAAAATTTATTCGCTTTGGAGAGCGTTTTCAAAAAAGGTTTTTCCTTGACAAAATGTCTCAGTGTGGACGGAAGGCCAAAACGGAGAGAAAAAGATGCGTTTTCAAATAAAAATGTATTAGTGTGGACAAGGCCTGAGAAATTGCCAAATCTAGCAACAAAATTGCTTAGTTGGCAACATTGCAGGCTACCCAGGCATTTCAGCTTGTTCCGCCAAATGTCACAAACCCTTCCACTTTCCTGTGGCCTACAGCTACAGCAGCTGAAGCAAGCACGAGACTGCCATCGCTTGCAACACAGGCCCTCACATCTCAGACATTCCTCCTGCTACTTCTAACCCATTTTTTCCTTTTTAGTGGCCTCCAGCTCCCGTAGCAGACGCTAGTGTGAGGCTGCCTCCATTAGCAGTCCAGGCTACACAGGCTCTCCAGCATTTTCCTCCGAATGTCACAAACCCCTCCCCTTTCCCGCGGCCTACAGCTACAGCAGCTGAAGCAAGTGTGAAGCTGCTTCCGCTTGCAACACAGGCCTTCATATCTCAGTCTTTCCCTCCTGTTACTTCTATCCCTTTTCCTTTTCAGTGGACTCCAGCTCCCATAGCAGACGCTAGCGTGAGTATGACTCCACTAGCGGTGTAGTCTACACGGGCTCTTCAAGATGTCACAAACCCCACTCACTTCCCGTGGCCTACTGCAGCAGAAGTAAGCGTTAAGCTGCCTCCGCTTGCAACACAGGCCCACACATCTCAGTCTTTTCCTCCCGCTACTAATAACCCTTTTTATTTTCAGTGGCCTCCAGCTCCCATAGCAGACACTAGCCCAGAGGCCGATTTAAGCGTGAGGCTGCCTCCGCTGACAATTGTGGTTCCTGCTCCTCTCCCTCACAGCTCTCTACTTCATTCAAAGTCACAATATTCTCTTTTCACAGCAACCTTACTGCCCGTCCCACCAAATGCTGTCGCCTCAGAGCCACCTCAGTGGCTCACAACATCCGAACACAGATCCTAGTACCAGTAGATTATTCTGATAATTAATTGGATAATTATATTTATTTTTATGGTAATAAAAATAGGCCTAATCAACAATAGCCTCTAAAATTACATAAAATACATAGATAATAGCAATGAGGCCATAATAGGTTTAAATAAAGTATCTAAAGCAAGTAACAATATGGTTTTGTTGAACAAAACTTAACATAATGTATTATAAACAATATAATGTACATTAAGCATTATATAATAAAAGCCTACAGAGGACGCCAATGACCCGACGATTGTTTTTACCCGCCACTGTGTGATCTAATCTTTGGCTAAATAACATTTATGTTGCTTTTGTGAATTCACAATAGTATTATGCTTTATGATTTTAAATTGGTTTAATATATCATGCAGTCTTAGAAACAGCCAGTTACTCGACACGGGAAATTGCAATCAAGGATTTTTAAAACCATACTCGAATTGAATCGAGGAATTGTAACAACCCTACTCTCATCTTTACTTTCCCTGCTTCCCGTGTCTGATTCCAACTGCCAATAGACTGCGGGGATTTTTCAGTTACTTTAAACATTGCCATTTTAAGAGTTTTCTATTGTGTTCAGCTGTTTCAATGAAATAATCTGTTCAGCCTTCCCCCATAGGCAGCGCGAACTAAATGAGGGTTCATGATCAGCCCTTTCAATGCTCTGCCTTCTCAGTTTTTGCTTTAGCCCATTGGAGTGGCTATTAGGAAAATGCTTAGGTAAGAAACACCTTTTAATCAATCTGTCAGCTCTACATAACTCCCCGTTTTCAAGCATAAACACCTTGATTACTCTTGACAAACATTCTCTCAAATAGCAAGACATCGATCATGCGATCGATATGATAAAAATTGTGGGTTTTGGCTCTTGGCTGGCCAAAGTCGACATCACCTCAGCTTTCAAAGTGATGCCTATCCATCCAGATTCATGCCACCTATTCGGGGTATGCTAGCACAAGAAATTCTATTTCGCTGTACACTTAACTTTCGGATGAAAAGCAGCCCCAAGATTTCTTGACGTATTATCAGAAGCAGTCTGTTGGATTTTGTTGAACAATTACGCAGAAGTGATCCTCGTAGCATCTACCCTCTTAGACAACTCAAATTGTTTGAATATTGAACTCCCGTCGGATGCTGCGAGAGCCTCCCGTTCGAGCAAACCTTACATTCTCCATCCAACTACTGGCGAGGCTTACCCGTCTGATGCTGTGAGTATTGAACTCCCGTCGGATGCTGCGAAGTTCTCCCAGCTGGGCACTTCAAATTTAGTTCAACCCATCCATCGGCCAGTAAAGGCTACTCATCTGACGCTGTGAGCTGCTCCCGTCAAAAGCTACGTGGACCTTCCCGGTCAGGCGATTCAAGCCCCATCCACTCCGTTATTGTCCTTCAGCCCTTCACCTGTCTGATGCTGAGAGCTTCTCCCGTCAAGAGTGAGGTGTGAGCCCTCCTGATCAGGCTTCCCAAATCACGCTGCTCTTCGTCCATCGGCTAGTGGGGCCCATCTTCCCAGCGCTGCAAGCTGCTCACGTTGGAGGCAGTAAGGGCCCCCGGTCTGACAGCCCAAAACACGCTGCTCCTCCTTTATCAGTCGATAGGGCTCACCGGTCTGATGCCGCGAGCTGCTCCCATCAAGAAGCAGTGTGGGCTTCCCGATCGAGCGCCCCAAATCATACTGTTCCTCATCCATCATCCATCAGTCGGGTGGCTGTCCTTTGCTCTGTTGCTTTTTGAGGGGTATTGTGGGTTTGGGCCAAATTCCGAGCTCGGAGCCCTCCCCTCGGACAGCACGCCAAATACGCATAACCTTTACTCTGTTTATTATATGTAAGTGTGAACTCGTGAATGGAATTATACTATATGTGGAGCTCAGTAGAAAACATTCTGACATACTGTTCAAGGATTATTATTTTACTCAGGAGTTTGCAGCGAGAGTGGTGATGTCCCTCAGCACAGCCCCCACATGGCAAACTCCCAAACAGGAGATGCACATTTTGTACGTACATCGTCACCAAAGATAAAAGCATACAAGGATGAATGCATTTCCTGAAAGCCTCTGGTGCAACTCTCAAAAAGGGAAATAATCCACTTAATGGTGAGTCACTGGAACAACTAGCTGACTAATGTACACTAAAGAAAAAAATCTGATATGATGCCGCAAATGTGCACTTATAAC